GAATTGAATAACAAACTAATGGACTGATTTTATTAACAAGGAAATATTTCATTTCCGGCTAATGATCAAAACAGAATTGTGTCAACGATTCATCAGCGACAATAACAACCATTAATTTTGGTCATATTGAATGATGAAAATCGGCACCTCACTGAACTGAACAACATTTTGTTGTGATCATATTAATTGTTACACTTGCTCCCGTATCTCATTTTTCAAAAAATATTAATGTCAAAATAAATTGACATCGGAAATGAACTCGAAAACCGCTTCATAAAAAATACGGAAACTGAAGAACGATACTACTGTGCTATCACTGACCCAATTTCGTCGGTATCTGTCACCAGTGCGGGTCCGTTTGGATCGGAAAAATCAACGGGAACACGATCGAGTTCATCCAAATTCACCGGATCCTTCCATTTTTCTGTTTGAACACTCTGGAAAAAACCCATCAAAAATTCCACCGTTTCTTTTTCAATACAAACTGAATGGAAACACTCAGAAATTATTGCGTAGAAACGAATGGAAATTGAGATAATTTTTTCGCCTATAATTGAAACGACATTCTTCAATTAGTTGCGATCGATAGACAAGTCAACTGCGAAAAAAGGTGTCGCCATTAAAGGCGATTTCAGTGGCAGATAAGCAATTCAGAGCATTAATTGACAGTGAATTTCATTAGAAGAAATTTTTGTTCTGCGATTGAAATTTCCATGTGAATGAAATTTCATCGAAACAAATTTTGCTTCCCAATGTTTTATTGTTGAAAATTATCGGGAAATCAATCAATTTCAGTCACAAACGAGTCGATTTAATCAAATGCATTTGCCAGAAATCAAAAAAAAACACATTCAGATTCCGAAAACATACACGTTTCATTTGAATAAAAAAGTTTGCGTGCGATTTTGCATTGCATTTCAAAACAAAAAGAAATCACACTGAAACTGGATGCAGAGTTGACTGCGTTCAAAGAGAACACAACAACAAGAATCTGAATGAAAATAGATCAATGACATACTTTAGATAAATGCGGATCAGCGTCAACCAACATGTAATCTTGTTCTGATGCTGTATTTGCCTCCATATTATCACTGCCTGTACTTTTATAACTGAAATTT